AGTGCAGAATATACTTCACTTGTAGTTCTAAATTATATACAAGGTGAAGCCTGAAAACCAGCAAATTACTGAGGCTGTTACCTTTTTCCAACACAGCCATTTATTTTAAGTTTTTTATGTATCGTTGTAGTGTTGATGAACAAAGTCTTTTTCTTTTATAAATGTTTAATTAATAATAATAACATAATAATAATAACGCACACACTCAACATAGCCCCGCACTAGAAACCCTGAGTCGCGGCTGCCATATACACACAAATAGACAACCACAAATTACGTCCAAATTCATGAGAGGAATAAATGTAGGCCATGCAATATTTCTCCCGGCCCGGGAATCGAACCTGAGATCTCTGCGTGGCAGTCCGGCATGGTAACCGTTCGGCCACGGAAGCAGTTAAAATTACTAAATACAAAGATCGAACATAAAGAAAAATTCTTTCAACCCTACAGGACTCGAACCTGAGGCCACGGGATTTCGTCCTATCGCTCTTCCAGCTGAGCTACATGTCGAGTTACCACGTTGACGAAATTCTTCTATGTGTCTATTATATATTTTTGCAGTGAGATTTTTTAAACGCGTTTATTCCCAATTGTTGAAAGTATAAATAACACTTAACGAACGAACATCAAAACTTCTCTTTGGGTTTGAAAACCTTGCTCTTTAACGTTAGCGGTCATGAGCACGCGAGTTCTAATCTCAATTATCATAATTTCCGGATTTATCTAGAGTAGGTATTATGAAATATATACATTATTCCATTTTATTAATAATCGCGGGCTACCCTCCGGTGCCAATTTCAAATACGTTAATATACTCCCGGACACATAAATCGAGTCACCTTGCATTTTTATTCTTAAAGAACAGAACACAAAATTATTGTTATCACTGAAGAAAACAGTTTTCCCCGGTTTTATAAATTAAAAATTTCAACAAGGTGTCATGGAAATGACGTTTAATATACCAATTTCAAAATACCTTAGTAGTTTTCGATCAATCAAACATTGTCTAACCTTAGGCCAATTAATACTGAAAATGCAAGGTGGCTCGACTTACGTGTCCGGGAGTGTATTATCTGTCTACCCTAGTTTAGACTTTCTCTTACACGCATAAAGTTGAATTTGGCTCGCGCTGAATGAAATTTTATTTTAAAAGATATATTTTATTCTAAAGGCCCTTTTCCGGTATGTGTAGGAAGTAAATTAATTTTCCGTACTTATAGAATAACACAAGACACACTTTCACTTTCACAGGTGTATAGTCCTAAATGTCAACTTACGGTGGTTTATTCCTCTGATTAGGCATGCCGTCTTCATCGAAGAGCTGCCTTCTGCTGCTGTAATAATCTGAAAATAAATTATAAGTTTTATGCTTAGAAACCACAGCGCTTTTCCCATATACTCGTATATGTATCACAGCGAGAACTTCGTAAATAAAACTTCCGCAAACTCAATTATCTTTGCGGAGAGGTGTATGTAAACACTTTATTAGACAACAAAACAACTTACAAATTTATGAAAGATTTATCACCCAGTTAGTACCTTTACAGCTACCAGTCCTGGCGAGAGATGTCGCTATTCACTGTGTTTTAAATTTTTATTGAATTGATATTCAATTTTTTTTGTGAAATTACTCCGCTAGTTTGTTATAATTATTAATACGAAGATCGAACACTCAGAAAAAATTCCTTCGATCCGGCCGGATTCGAACCGATGTCTTCTAGCTTACCGTGCCAGACGCTATACCAACTAAGCCTCGGAACGAACCAGCGGACCTCATGAATTTTTCTATGTGCTTGCGTTGTATTTGGTTTGTCAACGACTTTTTAGTCGTAGCGCCATCTATGAGAAATCTATGAACTATTTTTTCACCCAATTAGTACCTTTACAGCTACCAGTCCTAGCGAGAGATGTCGCTATTCACTGTATTTTAAATTTTTATTGAATTGACATTCAATTATTTTTTGTGAAATTACTCCACTAGTTATAATCCAACACTCAGAAAAATGACAAATTTTTAACAAAGAAATAAAACATTATAAGCGAGCTTCTTCCATAAAGGGGTTTGTTTCAGCTACCCTTTGAATAATTGAAAGGAAAGTTGGCTCCAGAGTCGGCAATAAAATCTAATAAATCATGAAATTGAATGCTACATGCTCAATAATTACAAGGATAAAATGTATCAAATGTACATACGAATACATAATACATAAGTAAATGAAGATACACTAATACATATAAAATGTACAGTAAAATTAATGTATAAGGTTAAATCAACAGAAATTTGTACTGGCGGAGGATATAACAATAATGCACACACTCAACATAGCCCCGCACTAGGGAAACCCAGTGTCGCGGGTGCCATGGACACACACATAAACAATCACAAATTACACCCAAACTCACGAGAGAAATAAATGTAGGCCTTACAAATATTTCTCCTGACCCGGGAATCGAACCTGGGACCTCTGCGTCACAGTCATGGCAACCGTTCGGCCACAGAGGCTGTTAATATAACTACTAGAAGCCTGAGAAACCCAAGCAATGTGATACTTGGGACAATCCTTTAGATGAAACGTTTCCATAATAACTGTAACGCAATGTGTGGAAAAATTTTAACAAAATACCTGATCGATTTAAAACCCTTCTATTTGTTAAATTTAAAAGGGCTAAATTTAAAATTATGTTTACGAATTAAGTTCTCCAAACTAATTTTACAAGCAATATTTATAATGTACCCACCCTATTTAAAGTAAATAAATGATATTCTATTCTATAAAATAAGACTATAAATAAATATGCGAAATGTAAATAAATATTTTGTAAGCTGTAACATGAGGAGTCTGAATAACCCCAAGTTTTCAAAAGGGTACGTCTGAAAGCCCGATCCGAAGGTCCGACATCCGTCCGAAACAATTACTGCCAAATAAGCAATACTCGACCAAATGAAAAGACGCGTGATGCGAATGAAGCTTCATACTTGACACTTGTCTTTTCATTTTGTCCAATATTACTTATTTGACAGTAATTGTTTCGGACGGACGTCGGACGGAGATCGAGAGTAGACCCCCTGGACCGGGAGAAGGTTCCACATACGAGCAGCATTCGCTGTGAGCGAATGTCCCTTCTAAAGATAAATCAATTGATGAGCATACCATCGTTTCTAGGTGGCGGCGGTCGTGGTGGCTGGTCATGGCCCTCGTGGGACATGGGTCCCCTCCTCAGGTCGCCAGCGCCCCCCGCTCCCCCGCGCACTGGCGCCGCAACGTACAGATTCTGCCCGCTGCTTGAGTACGCCGACGACAATTGCTCCCCACCTGAGTAAACGTTCGGCGTCGCCTCTGCGATAGAAGAGAACGGAATTAGTATGGGTAATGACCATAAGTGTGTTATACAAGAAGTGTTCTTAGTCTGCCAATGCACCGCGGACTTTAGTTTCACTTGCAACTGTGTTGGTTGAAAGCTATTGGCAAATAATTGTAACTATTTTATTTAAAAGAACCAACCTCTAAAGTGTGTACAGGCTTTTTTATTAGAATTACATCTATTTGCAAAGTTTTATTTGCAATAATATAATATTATCTATTAGAAAGTGCGCTGGAGTAATCGAGTAACATACACAAAACAAAATACAGTCCGATTGAGAACCTCCCCCTTTTTTGAAATCGTTTAAAAATTCACCAAGACTGGAGACTTTCACTAAGAAAGTATTTAAAAAAATATTCTGTAGGTGAGAGCTAAAGAACTTTAGGAGGAGTACAGATCTGGAAAAATGCGCCGCAACTGGGCATTTTTGCTGTTCAAAGGCTCGCGAGCTCCACACGATCGTTATGCGGCAGGGCGTGCGCCGCACGCAATGTCAACATTAGAAACGTCTCAGGGTGACGAGCGCAGTTTCAATGCCCTTCAGGTTTGCGATTTGAGTGGCACTGCAACTAAATGCGTGGGTAAACACACTGTATTGTGAAATGAAGTAGCAGTAGAGCTTATTGTGAAAGAGTTCGTCCAGGGAAGTACTGCCATCTTACCTATTTCTGCCGCCAAGTAATGTTAGCAACGCGTTTCGGATTCGGTGAAATAACAGAGGCTTGTCAACTCACGGTGACGGGCGCAGTGGCATTGCTCCTGAGATCTTTGCGATTTAAAGCTCTGAGTGGCACTGCAACTGTTATGGATAGGCATGTCGCTTACCACCAGGGGAGTGACGTCACTCCCATCACTTAGTAATAATAAAATAATAGTCTGAACTATTAGAATTTGGAAACATGATGTACGATAGTGAGCGGAGAGTTGGAGAGGCTTGGAGTGGAGATCGAGGAAAACGACAGGTAGATGGTGGACTGCATAGCACGGAGACGGATAACGGTGGCACAGGAGACACAAGAGGACAACATATGAATGCACTTTACAGACCTAAGCTGTTATAGTTGTTCTGATAACTGCCATTAGTGACGGTCTCCTCCCTGATGAGTTCTCTCGTCACGACGAGGTTAAGGCGGTCCTTGCACGATTCTATGAGCTTGCGGGCTTCCTTCAAGGTCATCGCGTCGGTCACCGGGTTGTTGTTGATACGTGTGACAACATCTCCTTCACAAAGCCCTTGCCCTGCTTGATTCAACTGCTCTCTTGCTCGCATTGTTAGCTCTTTGACGTAGAGCTTGCATCCTAACACAATGCCGAAGTCTGAAATATAAAATTAGGTTAGTACAGATCTATACTGTCCTCGTAACGAAAAAAGGCACAACTATGCGTACTTTACACGACAGTTGTGTCCTTTTTCATTCCGAGGGCAGTATAGAATTTAAAGGAAGATCAATAAATTAAAACTAAATTAAATAGTTATAATAATAACTGAGAGCCACTTGAAGATCCTCACAAATAAAAACATAATAAGAAATCTGGTTCCACAATTCACCTAACTTATTATATAAAACAAAAAAAAATAAAAACCACAGAAATTGAAAACCTCACTACGTGTCAAAGAAGTGCTCACTCAATGCTCTCATCGCCGAAATCACACTCGTATTGAAAAGGTCAAGATCAAGTACTTATTACATAAAATATTAAAATTAAAGCTTGCACGCCACGTAAACTCATTTTGCCTGTAGTTAGTTCGGGCCGGAGATAGAACTAAAAGTGAATTGTTTCGACGATCTTAGAGGGAACTCTCAGTGATAATTGTGATAGCAATTCCGGACAGTTAATAAGGCTCGATGCTATTTTTAATAAAAATGTACTTAGTCTATGTTTTTAATAAAAGACACTCCAACAATTACAACTGAATATCATGTTTTTATTTCCATGATATTAAGAAGTTTTCAAAAAAAAAAAGAAATATTCGGATATTGTCTAAGGAGGTCATATAAAATCCCGACAACAAGATAAAATAAAAACCTAAAACTAATTTTATTTCAGAATCGACACAACCTCAAACGGCTTTGGTTGATTCCGCGTGACAGTGAAAGTGTTGGATCTAATCACTTCGGAAAAAATATATAGTAAAACACGTCACAAGGTGTGAAAACACGATTCCTAATAATAATCTCAGTACAGAGTACTGAGCAAACCGACCTCAAAAGTACGTGAAATTACATCTACTTGTCGAGTTTTATTGAAATATGGGGATGTTTAGTTGGCCACTATACAGGAGATAATAAAAATCTGTTCTCACTACTCAAAGTATATTGAGAGAGAAAAACGCCTTGAATTGGAGAAATAGCAAAATCAACCATTAAAATAATTGCTCTTGAAGTAAAGTTTAGGCGCTATTTATAAAAACGAATGTTCATGCGTGATCAGCCCTTACAGGTGGATGATTTTCATCAAAATGAAATGGGACCACTATGCAGGTATCCTCTTTCCAACAAAATCTGTTCACAAATACCGGAGTTATCGCGTAACATACATACAAAAAAAACATACATTTGAATTGAGAACCTCCTCCTTTTCTTGAAGTCGGTTAAAAATTTTCTCAATTGAAAAAACACAAACTTCGAAATTTTACAAGAAAACCGCTGTATTCAATAGGATTTTGATATACAAAAATCATTAGTATATGTACTTTACATATACCAATGATTTTTGATCAAAAATCATTGGTATATGTACTTTACATATACCAATGATTTTTGTGTATCAACTGAACTAAATAGAATGCGTATAGTATACTATATACATTTTTGAAACGGCTTTAATTTCGTTTATAAAAATATAAATTCTCAAATAAAGTCAGTGTCGACTCTTGAGAATAATATATCAGATATATTATTCTATAGTTAGATAACTATGCACACATTTTTTTACGGAGATATTTCTCGTTAACTACTACAGAGAACGTGCTAAATATTGGTTTTCAACTGAAGTCGTATAGTTATTAAATTTACATTTATCCCAAAACTTGAAAATTTACACACTGCGCCGCCCGCTGCCCCGTCGGATCTGTGCCAAATTTTCTCCGCCTTTTCTTATTTTATTCATATTAGTTTTAAATGCACGAATTGCAGGACGCGAGTGGCGACCCCCACACCTCACCTCCTAAAATCCAAGCTCGCGTCCAAATGCCTCGCTTTAATGTATTATTTCAGGTTGTTGCCTGACTGGCCAGCAACCAATCAATAACTAATTAAGTACTGTAAGTATCTCTCTCTCTGATATTTGTTAATGGTTATCAAATAAAGTTATTATTATTAATATTATTCTAAAAAAATATCAAACAGTATCAGTAGCGAATGGGGGTTTTTGTGAAGCAACAGAAATAGCAAGGCCTTCATTAACAAACGAACCATTATTTACTAAAACACAATCAAACAATCCCTGGTCTTTGTACAATCGAAAAAAACAACTATAGTCTGTCTTTTTTGAAACCTGAGTAAAATGACATTTGCAGAGTTACCAGTTTTCATCAAATTTTCAATAGTTATGTAGTTGTTGTCGATAATTTTATCGATAGATTGTGAAAGAAGATTAAATCTTGTCAAAAATTACTGAATTGTGAATGTTACGACGTTGTAATGATTAGGTACTAATTGTGTTATTGCCTTCTTTATTCTTATTTTGACAGTTGGCCCACTAATATCGAGATCAGTTTTTATTAATATACATTTTAACAAAAATAGCCAGATTTTATACATAGTGAATTAAAATGGAAAACTTTAAAATATGTCTCCTCTTTATAAACATAGTTCTAAATACAGTGTATGTACGCATGAACTCACAACAAAAATAAGACATTTCAAATGAACTTGTGCTCAGTAATTGAATAAATAGTAGGTCGATGATGACTCAAATGAAAAAAGTTCGGCTATTTATTCCATATGCGGGACCAATGTCGATAGGTAGTCGTTAAAATATTCATCGACTGCAATCACTAGCTGCTCACAAGCGGGCAACACTTTTTCGTTTGGCGCAATTAACTGTCATTATACTCTGTTTTCAAAAAAGTCATACTACAGGTACTTATCTATTTCATGGAGATTTAGAAATAAATTAAGAAGCATGGTTTTACTGGTACTAAGCAAGTTTTTTATGTTTACAATACGAATTTTGCCTGAAGTAAATAATTCATTAGCAGTAGAGCCGCTTGTGAAAAATTCGTCCAGGGAAGTAGTGCCACCTTGACTATTTCTGCCCTTAAGTAGTTAATGTATTACGGCGTTCCGGTGTTGAGCGAGTTTTTATTTTAACAATTAACTAAGTGTCACTGCCTCTGCGTTGACGGGTTCGTTTCCCGGGACGGGAGAAATATTTGTATAGTCTACATTTATTTATCTCGTGAGTTTGGGTATAATTTGTGGTTGTCATAGACAAGTGTATAATGAATAGAGTGTGTGCGATACAGGGTTTGCCTTGTTTTCCGCTATGAGTGTGTGTGTTATTAATGTAACTAAGTGACGGGACGAACAAGTCGCGCCTGATGGTAAGCGACAGACCTGTCCATAACAGTTGCAGAGTGCTGGCACGCGGGACTTGTCAACTTATGTCTTAAGGTGACAGGCCGTAGCCGTGTCCGTCATATCATTACGATTAAAGTTCTAAGTGGCACAACAACTGCTTTGAACAGGCGTGTCGTTTACCACCAGGAACACGACTTGCACGTCACTTGATTTCATAATAAAAAGTAAAAGTTGTTAACTTTCTTGCTTAAACTTAGGCAAAGTTGTTTTGTAAATACGAGCACTTGTGTTATACAAAAACGGAAACAACATCTGTACCACAAACACCGAGTCCCGAGACTATATTGGAAAGTTAGTCTTTCTATACCTATTGGCCAGGCCGGGGATCGAACCCGAGACGGCGATACCATGAAAACAGGTGTGCTAGCTACTCAACCACGAAGGTCAGGAACTTCACAGTCTATACTACCTCATTAATACTTTTAAATTAAAATTGACAAAATGGCTTTGGCACATTGCTTCTATAGTAATAAAGAATACTTAGAATTTCCAAATAAAAATTTACATTAATTTGAAGTGCAATTAACAGTAGAAACCAAACATGAAATTAATATTTGCACATCTGGTTGCAGGTTGAATACAATGTATATCTAATTTTATTTAAAAATTTTATCATTACTGTATTCTGGCAAATAAACGTATTCTATTATATTCTATTCAGCTCCGCAATACGGTTCATTTTCCTTGGGTCGAGCGGCAGGGACACTGGCTTTATCTCAAATTTTCTTTTTACGAAGCCATTTGAAAAATGTATATAGTATACTATACGAGTTCTATTTAGTTCAGTTGATATAAAAAAATAATTTGGCAAAGTGCTTATTGAATACAGCGGTTTTTTTTTTTTTGTAAAATTTCGAGGTATGTTTATGATTTTTTTTCTATCGTAAAAATTTTTAGGAACCGTGTGTTCACACCGTATATTCAATGTATATACTTTTACTATACATTTTGTCCGAAGTGATTGATTCAAAACTTTCACTTTAAGGTTACGTCGACTCTTAAAATTGTGTTACTTCTATACAAACCTTCCTTCTTCCCGTTCCTGGCTAGTGACAGTTTGATAGTCGTCGGCGCCGTGGGGGGCGGCGCAGGCGCACGGCGTCGTACCACAAGGGAGACAGTCGCCCCCGAGTCCCGTAGTACTTGCACTGCGCGGGCATACTCCACGTTCTCCAACGGCACCCCGTTTACTGACAGAATCCGGTCGTTCACTCTGCAACCACAGATACATGAGCAATATGAACGATTGGACACACACGTCCTATATTGTTGCAGTTAAGAACGAAGCCTGTATTTCCAAATATCGTTTTTATTTAAACGTGTATGTTATTGCACTAAATTTACATCGAAGTCAACGCAGTAAAGTACTCGTACAGGATGGCGACATACAAACCTAAAACAATATATGCATAATGTTTTGTTTCGTGATAGCCTATAGAGCATGGAGGCATTTGTTAAGCAACGAGTGTTACCAAGCACCCGCGGCGCATACTTACGCATACTGAACAACATAATAACCTCAGATTACGATTGAGGTATGCGCCGCTAGAATCTCGTAACGTTGATGTCTTGCTTTACTTCGACAAGTGTTCACACTCCGATAAATAAAACTTATTCACTAAATACTGTGAGTACCTGCAATCGTATCTAATGAATGCCGTCTTAATAATAACTAACATTGGTCCTATACCTGTATTGGGAAGTAAATGGAGTACGTATTTAATCTATAAATATCAACACTTAATGTCATAAGATTTCGCTACAGCATATAAATTCGCTACGCATAAGTCTTCACAATTCGCTTAGGCATAAAATGCAACGGCAATTTCATACGGTAATTACAATTATAAGCAACGTTCAACGTCGTTAACAGTATCGTTTGTGTATATGGTCGTTTTGAAAATACAGCTAGGGGTCAAATGGTCACCGTTTCTCCATGTTTAATTAGGTAGTCAGTTATCGACATAGAGTCGCAATAAGCCGGTTACAAAAAGCTTTATTTCCATGTAATGTTAGCTAAAAAGACGCGTGTTGCGTCGGCGGTATGAGCTTATTCTGGCCAGTTCAAGCCAATTCGGCGTTAAAAAGTGCGGTGATTCGTTTATTTGTGAAAATTATTAATTTACTGCTTCAAAGTATATTTAGAATCGATGAAGACCCAATGTTGGGTAAGTTCCAGTAGGTGGAAATTTTCCAAAAAGACTTTTGAATTTTTCTGAAAAAAATACTAGAAAAATGTTCAGATTCTTTTCTGAAAATAGTTTCTTTGCAATATGGAATTATTTAAGGGCGATCACTAGGTAGATTAAGGCTGCTCATAGATTGACAGCACGTTTTCAGTTAATGCGTGGTAATTAACTTCACGCATTAACTGCATGAAGTCCAAGCCGACTTCGTGAAGTCGAGATCGTCTGCCTACAGTTAATGCGTGAGACGCAACGTGGGTGTCCGATAACCGGCCCTTCAACCGTAGACTTTGTGGAGTAATGAAGCTGTGACACGTATAACAACGTCGTCGATGTCACTGGACGCAGTAAATGATTAGGGCCAGTCGGGACGGTGCCACCAAGGTTACGGCTGGTGTACTTCTTTTTCCGACTTCACGCGTTAACAAAACCAAACTCATGAAGTCGAGATCGACTGCATGCAGTTAATGCAAACATGTAGTCAATCTGTTAGCAGCTTTAGCACGTAAGTTGGTTTAATGACTTCAGTGACCACCACACAGAATACCTGGTATTCATCTGAGCAACCACTTAGCAACATCGGAAAGTACTATACATACTGCAGTTTTTCTTCAGCGGGGCCTCCGCGCAGTACATCGGAGACGGCAATGGACGGGTCTCCACTTGCAAAATGCGGGTTGTCCCTCCCTCCAGAAACGGCGATACCGAAGCCGTAGCCCGGCACTCGATTTAGCCGCACCCTGTGCGTCTCCCACCCGCTGTTGCGGTCTGCCGTCTGCAAAGATCGTAAAGTTTATTGAATATATCACTATCAGTATATTGGTTGGAAGTTGTGGTTTAGTTTAATATTGATTAAGACCTGGTAACTCGTCTTCGATAAAGAAAATGAAATAATTTCTTCGAACTTAAATCGCGCACTTATATTTGTTTTTTTTTCAAACCAACCAACGTTTCGGGCCCTTTACTGGTCCCATGATTACGGCTGACTGAGATGGTAAAGTCATCTATATACGATAGTTCCATTCATCGCAAAAACCTAAAAACTCTGTATTGTCTTCAATACGTCTAAACTAGTCCCTAATTTAAAAGATTTGTTTTATTTTATTTGCACGTATGTCTGCGACGTGTGACGCAACGCGGGTGCCCGGTAGCTGCCCTCGGAAACGTCGGTAGATGAAACCCTTCGGCCAAAACTCATCCTTCAGGACGATCGACAGATGTTGGGTTTAGTACTCTCATCACAAAAAAATTAAAATTCATAATATATTATAGCGGGACCCCAACTGCTCAACTCTCAGAGTAGCATTGGCTTTCAACCGTAGACTTTGTGGAGTAATGAACCTGTGACACGTATAACGTCGTCGGTATCACTGGACGCAGTAAATGATTAAGACCAGTCGGGGCGGTGCCACTAAGGTTACGGCTGGTGTACTTCTTTTTCCATTCCACCTTTTTGAAACTCGTCGCACTGATCAACTCTTCTCAGTGATACTGACGACAGCAATTCAAAGATTTTTTTGTAAGAGCTCAGAGCTATAAAGCGCAAAGATTTGAGAGGAATTGCTACTGCGCCAGCCACCCTGAGACGCAAGTTGACAAGTCTCATGTGCCTGTAATTTCGCCAGCACCGTTCAAAACCGGAACACAGTAATGCTGACATTACTGCTTGGCGGCAGAAATAGGTAAGGTGGCAGTACTTCTTCGCTGGATGAACTCTTTCACAAGGAGCTTTACTGCGTCTAAATAAAAGACAATAATAATAATCTTAGATAAATAAATAAGTTTTTCGACACGTATTGTTCACCGGTTCTTGAACCTGAGTCCCTGACCTCTGTCGATGACATTGCTGGGAAAAACCGTATCTCTCGTTTAAAAATTAAAAATTAATCTTTAAGGCCGTTAAAAATAATAGTAATAGCAATATTAATGTGCCAGAAAACAGTATCACATAATTACATGGTTTTAAACCAAGGAATTCCAGAATTCACTCCGGGCACTACCTGCGTAGTGGTCTGGAGCACCAGACCAAAATTTTGGAATGAAAAAATTTTTTTGACGCAGTTCTATTCATAGCGATATCGTTACGTATACTACTTCACTGGATAAACTCTTGCACAAGGAGCTCTATTGCTATTAAGTCTATTAGATTACTCTCGATAGAAGTGTGCTACAAGTGCTTTATGTTGACAAGTAGCAACAAAAATATCATTAAATATATCAGTAAGTAAATGCATAAACCTATAAGTGTATGCGTAAACCTATAAGGGCAGAAGTTATGTACCGTTATTACGCACTTATATGTTTTTGCTTAGGAATGTCACGAGTAAGCTACGTAAATTGTTCTTACTAGGGGTTTTTTTAAATTAATTTATGTCGTGGGTTAGTGAGATGTGCAAAGTGCGAAAAATTATCGATAATTCACATCACTGTCCGTAACATGACTTGAATAATGACTACATTTAGAAAATACGTTACTTTTGAAATAATCGTTGTCAGAAACCACTATGTTTTTAGTTAGTTAGTAATTTGAGTAATTTTAAGTATGACTTGTAGATAAAATATCAAAGTCAACCGTGAGCATGGGACCAAGGTCCCAAGTCTACTAATTTTAAATCATCTAAATTGTTTATCAATAGAGCGCCAAAAGCAGGGTTATGTATTTTTGGTATTCTGCTAAAAATGTAGAGTAATGCTATCAGTAGTTAGTCATCGAACTATTATTCAACTGTCATTTCAATATTTTGGTATTCTGCTCGATGGCGTAACGATGCCTTACTTTCTCAAAGTCGTATCTTAGAAAGAATTCAGGAAATGGCAAAACTATCTATTTACTTTACATTTCTTATCAAGGTTTGTTAATTTGAAAGCAGTACTTTAAGAATAGGTAAAAACTAGTGTATATATATATTGCAGGCTGATTTCACATCACATTTCCTTCATGTGTTATTGAGATGTATATATATACATATCTACACTCCCTTTTTTACATTTCAGTAACTTTGTGTTTTAAGATACGAGTTCCAGAAAGTAAGGCGACGGTAATCTGCTAATTATTTATTTAGCTAAACTGCTTATTAAATGAGATAAAAATTAAGATATGCATGTACTTTTACTAAGGCTAATGATTGAATTAATGAATGCCGTTCCTCTGACTGTCTATTAAAACTTAACTGCCATTGCAACTAGATTTTAGCGAATAACAAATGTTATAAAAATATAATGCAATCTACGTGGACTCAATGGAATTACAATAACCTGTAATGTCAAGAAAATTTGAACATTAGTTTGTTTGAAAAAAGAAAATGTAAATATAAAATAAATTGTTACATTTCCGATAAAAATATCAGTTTTTTTTTTGTGAAAAGTTGATACTATAGCCAATGTGACATAACATTTTAACAAAACCGTCATGTTCAGTAGGTTGGTTAATGATCGCAGTCAGCACAGGCTTATTGCAGAATAGTAGGAAGGCACTGTCTAGGGTTTCTTTCGCAACATCACATGCCGCCCATGAAAAAATATCGGTTGTTCAAAATCGTGACCATGATAAATAGATCTTCACGAGCACCCACAATGCAAGATGAGATATAACTTATTTCAGTGAATACATCAACGGAAACTCGCAACTTTAAGGAAATTGATATGGTGAACCGCCTATGGAATGGAATTCCTTGCCTGTAGACATATTCTCTGAACACAAAACTTGAAGGCGATAGCCAATAGACATTATTTAGGTGTGCAAATGCGCACTTATTCTGTCATAAAAAATGTCTATATCAAACTGATAGCGCGTTTCAGTGTACCATTAACGCCATCTATGTAATAACATTGGTACCATTGATTAGTGTTCTAATGAAAAGGTGCTATAGTCCACTTGTTTAGGTACTTAACTAAATGTAAACAGTCTTGAGATGTCTATTTAATGAAATATATATTTATAAAATGATTTTTACTTACCTGTAAATACAAATTCTTAGCTTCTGAAATTGCATACCTATTTTTATATATATTGATTTGTAAAGTAATAATTAAGTAAAAAATAAAAAAATAAATAAGTATTTCAATAAAAAGATGTACTAAGATTGTTTACATTTAGTTAAGTACCAAACAAATGGACTATAACATAAACCAATATTTTTCTACGTCAACTACATATATATCATGATTATATCAACATTTACATAAAAACAATTCATAAATCAATATGCAAACAACGCGACGTAATGTTCGCGTAAATCTTTTAATTGTCAGTTTTGCCAGACGTATTCATGACGTTGTTTTATTTTTATTGAATTGACCTGCTATACAACTTTAAAAAAGCTTAAACATTTATTCAAGCGATTACGAGAAGGAATTATGTTTCGCTCTGTTAATTTTATAATATTTACGACTATAACGTCTGTGCAAAATTGGTTCTAGCCAGGATATAACACTGATAACAGACTGCAGACAGAACGCGTCCAGTCGAGATTTCAACTGCAAGCATTAGATGCATAAATATGTTCTGAATATAATAGCAAGCTACATGTAACGTTTGAACTAATAGTGAGATGCTTCAACTCGGCAAATTCGACGTGCCAGAACTAAGTAACAGCATACTGGCTAACTCTACATCCAAAGTGCAAAATGTAGAGTAGTTACTTATGTAGTGATTTGTTTAAAGTGTGTTTGATTTGTTATGTGCTTCCATTTCGACATCAACAAATGGTGTCGATTGCACGCAGTTGAATTTATCGACTTCGCAGATGCAGTCCGTAACAGCCTAGGTTTATTGAATTGGAAACACATAAACTAACTAGTGACCTTATGTTCTGGCGAGTTGGTATATTCTAGATTCTCACACAGGAGCGGTTCGACATTGGCACTCCTTGTTTATTGTACTT